AATACACATCATGTGCAGGAATAGAAGCTCCGTTCTTGGCTTGTAACATGCGCAAAACATCTTCACAGCAGTGCACAATGTAACAACTGTTTAATAATGCTTGGAGTAGGCTTGAATGGGAAATGAAGAAAAACTTTAATATAAGTCTAACATAACAGCAAAAGTACAACGTTTCAACAAGGTTTTGTACCTGATGATGACAAAACTTTGTCGAAACGTTGTACTTTTGCTGTTATGTTAGACTTATATTAAAGTTTTTCTTCATCACCCATTCAAGCCTTCTCCAAGCATTATTAAACAGTTGTTACCTTGTGCACTGCTGTGAAGATGTTTTGCGCATGTTACAAGCCAAGAACGGAGCTTCTAATCATATTGAAGATAATGCAAGTTCTAACTGAAAAGTTTGAAATGTGGTATAATTTTTGCACATAATCAAGAAAATTAAGGAAAGAAAGTCTCCAATAAAAAATGGCAATGAAAGTTTAAAACAATAGGTGTACAATTTCTGGTAATTATTATGAAAAACATGTCCAAGACAAGCAATGCCAAGGAAAAAATGAGCCTTTGTTCAAATACCAGCACTCATGGGGATTACTGTGCTTGAAGGATATTTCACTTTCCTCTTGGTGGAAGGCTTTAGTATAATGACGATTATATCATAGAATAATACAATACACATCATGTGCAGGAATTTTATGTTAATCAAATTAGTACTTTTGAAACATATGCCTCATTGTCTGTTGTTGTTTAGCCCAACATATGGGTTTCATCCAGTACTCTTTATGGTTGTCATTAGGTCTATGCACCATTGATATACCAGGCTCATTTTATTTCTCTCTCTCTCTCTCACAAACACACACACACACACAAGGATTCTGTGATGTTCCACATATTTTACAAAAATGAACCATCACAATATCAGTTTTGTGAATCAACTGCATTATGCATTCATGTCTCCATGTTTCTGACATCTCTGACACACTTTCACAGGAGTCATCCAATACTTTAATGCTGACTGGAGGCACTCTGATGTGATATTACTGCCATTGTGCATCATGTGGTTGGTTCCAGGATTCCTGCTTTTGTTACTTCAGTGACGCTGCTCCATTTTGTGAGTGTTTCACCATTATTGATTCCATGCCTGGTTTTTCTTCCAGTTCCCTCTTTGCAATGGGGATCATGTAGTCTATTCTTTGTCCATCATTGCTTGGATTCTACAGGTATGTGTCTCTTGTTTTCTCTTTCTCCAGTTATTTTTTGCTGAATCTTGGACTACCTTGTTGTGTGAGCCTCCATCACTTGAACCTCTTGTTTGAGTGTAGGGATCTCCCGCTTTTTCCTTTTTTTTTTTCTTTCTTCATATACTTGTCTTCCTCTCTCACTCAAATTCTTCATTCATTCCCATGCCTTCCCTTATTTTAGAGGCTTTACATCATGACCCTGTCAGCTGTGCTGGAGCAACTTGCACATACTTGTTTTCCACCTTGCACTTAAGTTTCTTCCATTTTGCCCTAGTTAACTTTGCCCTAGTTTCTTTGTTTCTGGGATGTAATTTGATAGATAGCTTTACTTTCTGACATTCACCTCCTGGACTCTAGGCTTTTTATCTTTCTTCTTTTTTTTTTGGATGTGATTTTTTGGGATAATCGTTAAACTTTGGTATCTTGAGCTGTTGCAGCTCATCATTAATCATCTCTTCTCACTTTTAAGACCAGAGAGCTCCACCAGGTTTCTCATCATATACAGCCTTGTGGGGTAACCCCCTCTCTTGTTTTTTGTTCTCTTGTTATCATCCAAGGTCCCACTCTCTGTGAGCTGGCTGTCATAGGTTTTGGAGACAATTTCATCATTTTGTCATTCCCATGTAGATGGAAGGTTGGTAGCCAGTTATCAGTCTATCCCTCTAGACCTGTTATTGGTTTTTCTTAATTCCTGATGGAAGTTTTTCTCTCCCAGTTGTGGAACTCTTCCTGTTGATGGATGGTCCAATTCAAGGTCCCAAACACTTTCTTCTCATCCCAGTTTCCCTGCTTTTGGCTTCCTTCAGTTTGTCTACATTGGTCAAACATTCAAATGCGATGATGAGGAACCTACTTTGAGACTAATAATACTTGGATACGGATTGAATGGGTTATGAAGAAAAACTTTAATACAAGTTTAACATAACAGCAAATGTACAAGGTTTTGTCATCATTAAGTACTGTTGAAACATTCTACATTTGCTGTTATGTTAAACTTGTATTAAAGTTTTTCTTCATTACCCATTCAAGCCATCTCCAACTATTATTGGTCAAACATTCAATTCTCAGTCATTCCCTTCAAACTGGGTTCAGTGGGTTTTTTGGAGCCTATTGTTCCACTACTTTATGGACATTTGGTCTCTACCCCCCTTTCTTTACCCTGGTTTCTATAACAGTGGGAACCAGCTAACTGTGCTTTTTCAAAAATATACACTATTCATCTCGGGCTTCAGGAATTGATCTCATACAGTTAAGTAATATTTTAGATGAAACCAGAGTAATTTGTAGCAGTTCTGAGTTTTAAACACCACGTTCAGTATTTATTTATTATTACTATTTTAATTAGCAATAAATGACATAAATCACTTTTTAAGTGATTTTTGTAAGTCTATTTTGTTATATTTTAAAGAATGTTTGCATTTAATTTTATTTTCAATTATTTAATAGTCTTTCAAAGTATAGCATTATAATTAAATTTTTCCAGTCTTAAATGTTAATTTCTACTATTGAATTATATTCATTCAAATTTTATTTAAGTGTTAATTAGAATTTTAGCATATAAGTAATGTAGGTTCAGGAAATAATCATATTTTCAAACTAATATGAAATTGTGAGTTAGTTCTCTTGAATTTGTTTCTTTAAGCATGTGGTATTCTCAGGTGAAACTGATTTCAACATGAATATTAGATAGGTGCACTTTATAACAGAAGAATTAATCATGTGAATTGCAAAGTAAATCTGGGCTTAGCTAAATGGCTGAGTATTAGGTTAAGAAAATAAACATACTGAACACATGATGTTAAATGGAAACAATTTTTATTATTCAATCAAAACACAAAATACATTGTGCATATTAGCATATATGCTGGACTGTTGCTTCCTTTTGGCTCTGTGAATCAATCAACGGTTATTGTCTCTCAGGATGTATTTTTCATTGACCAACTCACTTAGAAAAACAAGTAAAACTGTGTCAATCCAACTCTTCTTATGTAAAAGGAATTGTTGGATTTACTCAGGGCTAGTGCTATCCACATGACTGGTCATCCTCATACAACATAGTGAAGGTCATAATCTCTAGATATCACCTACTCTGCCAGTGAAAGATATTACTGTCAGTGACTTATTTTGCGCAATGTGTGAAGTTGCAGCAATATTTGCATTGGCAAAGTAGTTATTGTTTACCAGAGAACAACGAAGGAACAGAGGTAACTATGGTGAAAATAACAGTTTTGTGGACCACAGGTTTATGAAAAACTGCATAGAATGAAAGTAAATGAAAATTTTTGAAACTTTCTACATTGAAATGCCTACGTACAACAAACATATAAAGTATATTTGGTGGAAGATTAACTATAAGCTAAGACAGTTCATTTCTGGTTAAAACTAGAGGCAGTGAAAAATTTAATTATTTAGATTCATTGGTACAGTGTTCAAAAGTGCACTGTAATAGAAATATGCATTTATAATATCATTCTTCCTTATTGCATTAATTTTCCATAATAAAACATGTATATTATTTTGTATAGGCATAAGTTGGAAAATAAAAAGTATTATTATTTTTTTAAAGATGGAAAGACAAATCCACATGCAAAATATTATGAGAGAAAAAATGATGGCCATGCAGATAGCTCGTGCAAGAGAGTTGTTTTACTGGTTCGGGTCATTTTACCTGATATCCTGTGCAGGAATGCTACTTGGGTAAAATTTAATTATATTATTTTAGTTGTGATTCCAGTATCAGTTTTAATTTATGGTTGAATAAAATATTTCACTGGTAACTTGATTTACTAGTTACAACAGTTAATTAGGATTAGACATTTTACAGTTTCTAGAATCCAGATCTGAAATGTTTGTTCAAGATGGCCAAGACTTGATTTCCTAAAGTATAAGTTGTGACAAAAATGAATCATCATTGCAGGAGTTAAACATTGGTGAATTTTCAGCTGTAGTTAGTTAGTTTTGTTCTTTTTTGAACATTGAATATAATTTTTATTTTTCATCTTTCCTTTTCCAACCCTTTCCTCTTATATCCTGACAAACAGTAAATTTCATACTAGGTTCATAAGTTAGGTATTTATGAAGACTTTGTAATATTAGTTATGAATACTAAGTGTCCAGTAAACCCAATGAGATAGACACATGCTACAAGTAAAACAAAGGTAAGATATACTTGGATTTTTTCGTATTTATAATATGAAGATTCAAGTTACAATAATCTATAACAAGAGTACTGTTTTTGAATTATTTTAGTGTGTGTAAGTCTATTTAAAATTAATGCATTTAAATGAATCATATGTATAGTAAATTACATGAAGTTTTATGCAATGTGAAATGAAGTAAATGATGAAGTTAAAAAATAAAGGTTTCTTTTATCCTTTTAACCATACAAGAACGAAATTGGTCAATTTGACGAAGCTTGGAACTGTTAAACTATACATATTATAAATACGAATATAGTGTGTGTGTGTATTGCCGTGAAATTAGGCAAACTTTTAGTCAACATTACAAGCCTGTTGGAAATGAAAAACATATTTTTTTAATAAAGTATTTCTACTAAAGATTTGTCTGTGAATTACTAATTCAGTCTGAGTTAATGACACGTTAATTTAGCATCAATATTATTCATGCTAGTTCTCTCATCATTTCAAAATTTAATGTTGACCTTTGCCTGCATGCACAGCTTTTCAAATGCAACATGGGAAGTGGTCACTGTAAATGGGTGGCAGACAAATGATCAGACAGACTCAACGGTTTGCAATATATATAAGATTTTCCCCTACCCTTTATTAAGTTTCACAAACTTGGGTGTAAGAACAATTAATGTAGCTTTCAAGTATGAATATTATAACAAACAAGTATATGAGCCAATACAGTAGAATGTTTAAAGTACCATAATTTCTTTGGCTTTCTAAGTACGCTATAAATTAGTTAAAGCAATTCTGTTACTGTTCAGTGCATCAAATCTGATCACAAGCCATGCCATTCTCATTGAGTGAAATATGATGGTGGGAAAACTGAAACCAAAATTATACAATTTATGTAGAAGAGTGTTCTATTTCTATGGTTATAAACATATCCATCAGCCAATTGAAATTGATTAGTAAACAATCTCGAAAGTCAGAGAAAGAGTAGAGGGTCTTCTCTGGTGGATTTAACAAATTTATTGATATTTCAGCAAATAAAGAAGTAGGATTTTAGACTCATTCTAATAATTATATATAGTTTGGGTTTCCGGTTGGTTGGACACTGCAGCAGTGTAGTTTTGATGTTAGACAATTCCAAAGTGGAGAAATTGGATATCAGACACATCACGTGACATGGGAAAATGAAGTTTGAGATTTTTTAAATACTTTTTGAAAATAAGAAGTTAAAACTTACCTAAAAATTTGAGTTATAGACTATGTTTCTTTTGCCAAGTTTATTTACATACATTGATAGTAAAGGCCTTTACTTGAATTTTGAATGTAACGTTGTAAAAGGTCATTACATGCACACTTTGACCCTGTTACAGAAAGACCGACCTCATAACCGTTTTGTGCTTGTTATAGTTTTCATGATATAATTTTTAAATTAGTAAGTGAATGTTAACAAAATTTGCCAGATTATCAGTAAACATTACAATATTTTTATATGCAAAATATATTATTTTTTTTATTAAGTCTTAAGGTTTGTACAGCAATGTTTTTCTCATGCCTTTTTTTCTTTTCACATGTTACTGATATTGACAAGCCAGAATATAAAATAAGAGCCTCTTATCTTTTCAATTTGCTATGATATTGCTCATGTAATAAATCACACACAGTAGCACCCCACCCATCTCTTTCAATTTTTGGAAATGCTCTCTTATATACACTTACTTCTATATATATATGACATGAATAACTAATCAGAAGCTAAGAATGCCTCCCTAGTGATTTTCTCAGTCATTTAATGGACTTGACACCACTTCTTTCTTTTGAACCAATATTTCAACAAGGTAGGGTGTGTTTTTAGTCTGCGCAAAACTTCATATTTCTTTAGACTAAAATATGTCTTAGTTACTAAGCTTGATAAATTATAGTAGAATTCTATGGTATTAATGTAGTCATTTATGATTTTTTAGTTTTTCAAATACACATATAAAACCTAAAGAAAAAATATTTTGTTTCATATCCTCCATGTGCAATTTTTTAAAGGCTTAGCAACCTACTTGAAGCACCAACCAAGTACAAAGGTCATAACTAGGAGAGATAATTGTTTGCTTTATTTCTTTAGTTACTGTTCTATGTTTTAAAAAAAAAGTTTAAGAACTTATTTCAAAATAGCAATAATCTATATACATAAATAATGTATAATAACTGAAATTTGACTGTATTTTACAAAATACTAGTCTACAAAATCACAGCCAAGACAAGTTATTTTGCACAGACCAAAGGTCAGTTTTACATTATTTGATATGGTAACATGAGTGCTCGTGAGCCTCGTCATTGTAACTTCTGTATTGTTAGCCAGGCACGGCTGAAAGTTCAATATAATAAAAATAATAAATACATTTAATGTATAATGTTATGAGATTTAAGCAATTTAGTCTAAACATTTATGTTTTGGTGTTATAATCTGTGTTCATTCTAGAATGAAAGATGCATAATTTATATTATATTTCCTAATTTTTATGGTGGTTGCAAGATTGGTCAAATCTACCAAACCCGTACAGAGATTAATTACTGAAAATAACAGATAAAATATAAAGTTTTTTCTTAAGGAATGTTTGATAACTATCTGGGCATTATAAAGATTTCAAATGTGAAATTTCAAAATTTTCTGATGCATAAAAGTATTTTTAATCTTAAAATGAATATTACTTTGCATGATAGATAGGCAATTTTGACTTCACAAACATCTAATTTCAACCAGTGCTGCATTCAACATACCACGTGACACACAAAAATTGATGTTTATCTGTGTTTTTTTAATATTTGCTTTTAAATTAAGAAATTGAGTAATATATAGTACTAAAATTTGAATTATAATCTACAATTTGAGAGCAAACTTTTTGACATAAATTCATGAAATAGTAGTTCAATAAAATTTTGAATGCGAGTCAAGAAATGAGATGACATGGCCTTTCACCCGTGACCTGTCTCGAAAAGGTTAATATCTAAAAAAAAAAATTAGTTCATAATATTCGAACTACAGAAAACAACATTAGCATGGAACAAGTTTTTATATTTAATCAGAAGTTTAGAAAGAACAAATTTAAGCAGTAACAATATAATGGAATGTACGATAAAATGTAAGACATACACATTTAGGTTTTGTTTCGTTCGTTTTGAATTTCGTGCAAAGCTACACAAAGGCTATCTATAATAGAAGTCCCTAATTTAGCAGTGAAAGACTAGAGGGAAGACAGCTAGTCATCATCACCTTCCACCAACTCTTGGGCCACTTATTTACCAATTAATAGTGGGATAAACTATCACATTATAATACTCCCATGAATGAAAGGGCGAGCATGTTTGGTGGGACAGGGATTTGAACCCGCGACCCTCAGATTGCGAGTCAAGCACCCTAACCACCTGGCCATGTTGGGCCACACATGTTTAATGACTAACATTGTTAAGAGAAACTATTATAGAGAAGGGCTTAAATATAAGTATAAACACTGTATCTCTTAAATAATTATAAATATCAAATTAAAACACTGAGAATCCGGGGTTGATTACATTAATGACAACAGGGAAGAGTTGATGTTACTATTTAGTGTTGGGTAATCACTGAAAATGGAGAGGCTTTCTTAATAAATAGTTTGTAATCTGTGGTTCCAGAGCTGAGAATTTTAAAGTTTTCTAAAAGTATGGGTGATTGTTATTCTCACTGTGAAATCAGATACAAGACTCAGGTGGATTACTTAGCTTACATCCACTTTTTGCTGAAATTCCCATGTGCTCATGTACATGTATTTGTAGGTGACATGTACTTTTACCAATGTTGGTAGCTTTACAGCTACCAGAAGAGTATTTATAAAAGACCCACAAGTGCACAGGAAAGGATAGTGTCTTTGGTTTTAAACATATTTTAAATTCTAAATGTTGATGTAAATACTAAATGCAGCTTAATTTGTGGGTAATATGTTTTGATTATTTTCTGAATTTGATATTTTAGTTTAAAACTTTGTTTGCCAATGAAAGGATTGGTGAGAACTAGTGGATATTTTGAGTCAGTGTGCAACTTTTTGATAGGTTCTATTTACTTGTTTAAAAACTTATGTGCGATATAGTGTAAGAAATTAATGCGATAACCATTACTTTGTAATATGTTATGAATTTTTCAAATTTCTGAGTGATGACAGAAGTAGTCAGAACAGATATCATATGCTCTGTTTAGAAGATTTAGAACAAGGTTATGTTTGAAGAAGTCTGGTTTGAAACTGTCAAAATGAGGGTATAAACCAGTAAATGTTTTCTTACAGTAAGTATATGTGGTAAAGAGATTGTATATTTTGTTTATTTAACATCTAAAAAATCAAACTTACTGTTTTCTTCCATCTCACATGTAAACTTTATACATGAATGTTGTGAGTTTAGATATTCAAAAAATTTCTTAATGTGATCAATGTTGTGAAAGAGTTTGAAAAGTATCATCAATGTTCCTTCTATGTAATACTGGTTTGTAATAAATGGGGCAGTTATCCAGCCATTGATGTTCGCAATAACATAGAA